CCCTTCTCGCCCTCGGCGCGCGGAACCCGTGGACTCTGTGGACACCGCTGACCCCGAACCTTCCCGGTGAGCGCCCCGGGCCCTGGGCCCAGCCTCCCTTACCTTTGACCCTCGGGTGGGACCCCTCCCTTTGGGCATGGGCCCCTCGCCCTGCCTTATCTCTTTCGCCCCGTCCTGCCCCCCAGGCTCCCTTCTGACCTTCGGTTTCCCCTCTCCTTCGGCACCCTCAGCCCCCATCCTGGCCCCACCCCACGCTCACCACCCGCTTCCTCCCTGCAGACCGCCAGCCCTGGACCGACAAACACCCAGATCTGTTGACCTGCGGCCGCTGCCTGCAGACCTTCCCGTTGGAGGCCATCACTGCCTTCATGGACCACAAGAAGCTGGGCTGTCAGCTCTTCAGAGGCCCCAGCCGCGGCCAGGGCTCAGGTGAGTAAAGCCGGGTGCAGTCCCCCTCTCAAGTTCAAGGGCTGGGCTTCCTGCTGGAGAGGGACTGGGCTGGACGGCAGGGCACTGAGCACTACTTCCCCTTTCTCGCTTCCCATCGGGTGCAGCCTAGGCGTGGCCAGGGCCTGCCCGTCCTGGGGCAGGGACTAGTGGTGGTGGTGGGAAGGGGGGGCAAGGGGGGTTGGGCAGGGAAGGAGGGCCGCCTACAGGGTGTGGCCAGCCCCAGAAGACTAGCCCGGGATTTTGCCCCCCACACACACACCCCAACCTGGTTTCACTTCTCCTTCCCCTTGGCCAGAAATAACTGGCCAGGTGGCTGGACCAGGGTGGCAGTAGGGGGGACCTCTGGGGAGGGCAGTGGCCGGGGGGAGGGGGAGTGGAGGCCAGCTGGAATGGGGAGGTTGCCACCTCCTCCTGTCTGTCAATTCTGATTGAGGTGCTAGTACAGCTAACTGTTCCGAGCCAGGGAAGGGGCTTCTGGCTTCCCTTGGTGATGGAATCTCCCAGCACTGCATGGTGGGAATCCCCTGGTTTGAGCGAGCTCCCCGGTGCTGGACACCAGGGTTCCTCCTCTTGGGAGGGAATTAAAATCCTTCACGTGGCACTTGACCCTCGGTGAGCTTTTGGTCAGTGTTGGCTGCAGGGCTTAATCCAAACCTAATTTCCAGCCCCCACCCCTTGCCCTCCTGAGATTATTTAGGGTTGGGCCAGGGAGGGTCTGGTGGTGGGAAAGAGGAGGGGCTTGTGACTGATTGAATCGGCTTTAGAGTTGGAGCATGGAGAGTGGCCTGGCGAGTGAGCGAGCGAGGGAGCGAGGGTCTGTGATAGAATTGCTGGAACAAAACACTGCAGGGCTTGGAGAATCGTGGGCACTTTGGTTTCACAAGCTCTGCAGTTTGAGCGCTTATGTGGACCTAAGCTCTCAACCATTCCCCAAGCGAGGTCACAACCACTCTTGAAAGGGAGGGGATCTCTAGGGTCCCTGAATTCTAGCAACTGAGGCACATAGAGGACTATGTCTTGCCCAAGGTCACACAACTACGGAGCAGAGAAGTCTGAATTTGAGTGCAGGCCAGGCCTGTGTTCTTGACCCGGGACTGGTTGTATCACAAAGGTTGTCTCATCCAAGACTCTAGAATTCGAAAAATGGAAAGGCTAGTTCAGTTAGGAAGTGTCCTCTGAGAGTACCCCGAAGGTCCAGATAAAAATCCAAGTTCAGGTTTGGGGGCTCTCAATTTGAGATCCATGTAGAGGGTGGGGAACCCAGGTCACTACCACCTGTTTACTTTGTGGCCGCTAAGCTTTCTCTGTAGCTATCCCCATTATTATTATTATTATTATTATTATTTTGAGGCGGAGTCTTACTCTGTCACCCATGCTGGAGGCTGTGGCACAATCTCAGCTCACTGCAACCTCCGCCTCCCAGGTTCAAGTGATTCGGCCTCAGCCCTCCAGGTAGCGGGGACTACAGGCGTGCACCACCATGGCTGGCGAGTTTTTGTATTTTTGGTAGAGACAGGGTTTCACCATGTTGACCAGGCTTAGTGTGTCAAACTCCTGACCTCAGGTGATCCGCCTGTCTCGGCCTCCTGAAGTGCTGGAATTACAGGCATGAGCCACCACGCCCAGCTATCTCAATTACTTTAAAAATTATTTTTATTAAACCAAAATTCCTTTTTTTTTTTTTTTTGAGACAGAATCTCGCTTTTGTCACCCAGGCTGGAGTGCAGTGGTAGGATCTTGGCTCACTGCAACCTCTGCCTCTTGGGTTCAAGCGATTCTCCTGCCTTAACCTCCCAAGTGGCTGGGATTACAGATGCCCGTCACCACGCCTGGCTATTTTGTATTTTTAGTAGAGACAGGGTTTCATCATGTTGGCCAGGCTGATTTCAAACCCCTGACCTCAAGAGATCCACCCGCTTTAGCCTCCCAAAGTGCTGGGATTACAGATGTGAGCCACTGCGCCCGGCCTAAACCAAAAATCTTATTCAAAAACCTCTGTTCCCAGCCGGACATGGTGACTCATGCCTGTAATCCCAGCACTTTGAGGGGCTGGGGTGAAAGGATTACTTCAGGCCGTAAGTTCAAGAATAGCCTGGGCAACGTGGCAGAGTCCCGGCTCTTTACAAAATGCTAAATTAAAAATTTAAAGCAAACAAAAGCAAGCCTCTGTTCTGCCCTCTCCCCCTCCCCCAGCAGTCTGGATTGAAATCCCAGCTTTACCCTTCCAAGCTGTGCCGCCCTGGGAAAATGCCTCTCTGTGCCTCAGTTTTCCTGTCTGGAAAATGGTGATCTTATTTTCCTGTCCTGAGGGAAAGCTGGGCTATGAGCCATGGCTCAGCACCTAGCATGTAGGAAGCGCTCACTGAATTAACTTTTTTTTTGAGACGGAGTGTCACTCTGTCGCCTGGGCTGGAGTGCAGTATTTTTATTAGAGACAGGGTTTCACCATGTTAGCCAGGATGGTCTTGATCTCCTGACCTCGTGATCCGCTTGCCTCGGCCTCCCAAAGTATTGGGATTACAGGCTTGAACCACCGCGCCCGGCCAACCTAACTTTTCAAAAGGTTTTCAAACACATGGTCTAGTGCAGTGGCTCACGCCTGTAATCCCAGCACTTTGGGAGGCCAAGGTGGGAGGATCACTTGAGGCGGAGAGTTTGAGACCAGCCTGGCCAATATGGTGAAACCCCATCTCTACTAAAAATACAAAAATTAGCCAGGCGTGGTGGCGGGCACCTGTAATCCCAACTACTCGGGAGGCTGAGGCATGAGAATAGTTTGAGTCCGGGAGGTGGAGGTTGCAGTGAGCTGAGATTGCACTACTGCACCCCAGTCTGGGTGACAAAGTGAGACTGTCTTAAAAAAAATGGTTTTCCCATCCTGGCTAACACGTTGAAACCCTGTCTCTAATAAAAATACAAAAATTAGCCGGGCATGGTGGCGGGTGCCTGTAATCCCAGCTACTCAGAAGGCCGAGGCGGGAGAATAGCGTGAACCCAGGAGGCAGAGCTTGCATTGAGCCATTGCACTCCAGCCCGAGTGACAGAGCGAGACTGTCTCCAAAAAAAAAAAAAAAATGGTTTTCAAACACAAAGCCTCAGGTACTCAGCACCCACTCCACAGATTTTTCGTGTCCACTGCTCCTCTGAGCATCAGCTTCCTGGTCCTGCCGGAGTGTGTGTGTCTTGTTACTGCCAAGTCCTTGGCCCCTGCAGGAGTGCCTGTCCCACAGAAGGTGTCCAGCTGGCAGCTGTGAACTGCAACCCCCATGACTCCTTCCTCTCCGCACTAACACTCTGCCTCTTTTTCTTACCAGAACGAGAGGAGCTAAAGGCCTTGAGCTGCCTGCGCTGTGGCAAACAGTTCACAGTGGCCTGGAAGCTGCTGCGTCACGCCCAGTGGGACCATGGACTGTCCATCTACCAGACAGAATCAGAGGCCCCAGAGGCCCCGCTCCTGGGCCTGGCCGAGGTGGCTGCAGCCGTGTCGGCAGTGGTGGGGCCAGCAGCTGAGGCCAAGAGCCCCCGTGCAAGTGGCAGCAGCCTCACCCGGCGGAGCCCCACCTGTCCCGTGTGCAAGAAGACCCTCAGCTCCTTCAGCAACCTCAAGGTGCACATGCGCTCGCACACAGGCGAGCGGCCCTATGCATGCGACCAGTGTCCCTATGCCTGCGCCCAAAGCAGCAAGCTCAACCGCCACAAGAAGACCCACCGGCAGGTGCCGCCCCAGAGTCCCATCATGGCCGACACCAGCCAGGAGCAGGCCTCTGCGGCCCCTCCGGAGCCGGCTGCCCATGCCGCTGCCCCCGCCAGCACCCTCCCATGCAGCGCTGGTGAGGGGGCTGGAGCCGCCGCCACAGCAGGTGTCCAAGAACCCGGGGCTCCTGGCAGTGGGGCTCAAGCCGGCCCTGGTGGAGACACTTGGGGAGCCATCACCGCAGAACAGAGAACTGACCCTGCAAACAGCCAGAAGGCATCACCCAAAAAGATGCCCAAGTCAGGGGGCAAGAGCCGTGGGCCCGGGGGCAGCTGCGAGTTCTGTGGGAAGCATTTTACCAACAGCAGCAACCTGACGGTGCATCGGCGCTCGCACACCGGGGAGCGCCCCTACACCTGTGAGCTCTGCAACTACGCCTGCGCCCAGAGCAGCAAGCTCAACCGCCACCGCCGCATGCACGGCATGACGCCTGGCAGCACCCGCTTCGAGTGCCCTCACTGCCATGTGCCCTTCGGCCTGCGAGCCACCCTGGACAAACACCTCCGGCAGAAGCACCCTGAGGTGGCCGGGGAGGCCTGAGCCCAGGAAAGGCCGCCACTGTCCCTGGCACCGCCACCAACACCTGTTGACCTCCTCATTTTTGCCCCCTTTTCCAAGTAAATTTCCCCTTTTATTTACACCCGTTTGGACTCTGGCTTTCTTGGGGTGCTGAGGTGGGGCAGGAGGCTTCCCCTCCTTGGGGTGGACGGCTGGACAGACCGGTTTGGAGTGAGGGGGTGAGGGAACGGCCAGCCCCCAGTGCCTGCGGCGCCGCAGGATTGGCACAGAAAGCCGCGCTCCCAGTTCCTGGTGCGGGCGAGGCCAGGGCAGGGGCCAAGGCGAGGGCGGGGAGAGGCCTGGACCTGTCGCCAGAGGCCCCAGGCAAAGGGGCCCATGTGGGACATGCTGGGCCGACACCCTGTGTCCACACCTGCGGGCAGGTCTGGGCCCTCTCCCTTGGGACTGTGCCCTGGCCTGAGCAGGCCCCACTGAGCCATGGCAGGTTCTGATGAACAGGGGCCTGCCACTTAGCCATCAGATGTGGGCAAGATGTGCCACACAGGCAGCACTGGCACCTGGCCTGTAAACCCAAGCGCCCTCCCAGCTGGCTCTGCTGGCCAGTGGGCCCTGGGGTGGGAGAGCCCTGCACCAACCACACAGATGACACTGAGGCAGGTGACAGGAATTAAATAACTTTTGACTTTATTTTACTAGAGATAAAACCAGCAGCATCACAGCTTAAGCCCCTTACCCCACCCCCTTGTCCTCCCCACCCCTCCCTCTTCTGCCTAATGTCGGTAATGGGGGCTTCGGGATCGGGACCTTGAGCGCCTAGAAAGAGAAAGGGAGGGGCCGTGAGAATGGGGTGTGCACACATCAACACAGCTGCGGCCACGGAGGCTTCAGTGATCGGGGCACTTGTCTGTAGAGGAAGGGATGTTCCCCAAGGGATGAGACCAGCCCCTCCAACTGGAGGTGGGTACAGGGTGAGGCTGGAGGAATGAGAGCCAGGACCTCCACTTGTCAGAAAGTGGAGGGTCATGGGCTTCCTTACCTTCGAGAAGAGCTGTATTCTCGACCTGGAAAGAAAAGAGCAGATGAAGAGCGAGCCAACATCCAGGGTCAGGGCCTCTTCCTTGACCTGGGGTGAGGTCCTCAAAACTGAACTTCAGGGGTTGTCTCCAAATGAGGGGACATTTCCAGAGAGTCCAGTGGCTGCGATTTGTGCCCCTCACCAGCCCATGCCGGAATGAGCACTTCTAATTTCTGCAATCACCTTGTGACTAAAGCAATGTGTGTACGCGTGTGTGTCTTAAGAGCTTTCATTTCTGGAAGGCTAATGTGGAACTATTTTTTTTTGTAACTCTGCTTGACACTTTTCTTTAAAGCCCCAGAGCCCTCCAGCCAGGTAGGGACACTCACTGTATCGGGGGGAGGGTGAGCGACTCTGCCGGCTGTACTGGCGTTCCCACTCTTCTCTCTCCTTCTCTCGGCGTTCCCGCTCCCTGCAAAGGCATGGCGTTAGCATCTGGCCGAGAACACTGGACACACTGAACTCAGGGAGGGCAGGTGCTTCCGACACCCTACTCTGAGAAAGACAATAAACCAAGGGGGCCGGTACTGCCACCAATCCCTGCTTGGAAAAGGGGCCCGAGGTTCAGAGGGACCCCAGCTGGCGGAGCTGACTGGAATCCCAGCCCCCTTCCTAGGAAAGCCTTGTGAACAGAGGGAGGCAGATAGTCCCATCATTTCCTGCCGCACTGGGGCACCTGCACACACTGAGTGTTGAAATGGTCTCCGTCACAGTGGCCAGGCTTGGCAACCCAATGGCTACATCTACTGGGTGCCTTCTCCGTGCCTGGCCTTGATCTTGTCAAATCCCCCCAACAGCCTGTGAGGTGGGACAATGACTCTGTCTCCACTTAGGAGATGAACAAACAGGCTGGGACAGGAGAAAGACCCATGGCAGTGGGTGGGTGGGTAAGGGGTATCAGGAACAGCTTGCCAGGCCAACAGAACAGCAAAGGTGACTGGCACTTGGAGGCTGGAAGAGCTGGGACGAGGTTGCGGTGGCGGGAGGCAGGCCGAAATGGAGGGAGGAAATTCAGGAGAGAGGCGGTGGGGCACAGCCCTGAGGGCCAGGCAGGGCTCTGCCTTTCATCCACCCACAGGGAGCTGGGCAGGGCTCGAGCCAAGAGCCCGTGGTGGGAAGGCCAGGAAGCCCAGGAGCAGGAGGTGTGGCTATGGGACAGGGAGGGGCAAGGTCTTACTTCATCCGGATCTTGCGGGCCATGGCTCGAAGCTCGTCTTCCCGCTCCTGCAGCAGACATGGCTATGAGGACGTGGCCAGGCCAGCACCCACCCACCACCCCAGCCCTCCCTTCCCCACTTCACCTGCCGCTCATGCTCCTGCTGGATCATCTTCTCCTGTGCCGCCTTCTTATCCGCCTTGACTGTAGGGAGGAAGATACACGGTGGCTGAGGGGTGCCCTTAAGAGCCCCGCTCTCTTTTTTTTTTTTTTGAGATGGAGTCTCCCTCTGTCGCCCAGGCTGCGATCTCAGCTCACTGCAAGATCCGCCTCCCGGGTTCAC